GACACCCAAATTATCCCCAGGCCTCAACCGTATGAATCTATGTGTATACACACTTACGTATGTCTACATATAATCTTGATTGATTCGAGAAAGAGAGAAAAAACTGATTGATAAAGGAGAATAGAGAAACCTTGGGACAAAATTTTATGGGAATTTCGTTTTAGGTTGCCAAGACAGGTACAAGGTTTCGCCCCCAACCACATCAATGCTACACCATCCAAGAAGGAGATGAAGGAAGCGACTTAGTAATTACATCCGTCATACGCGGAAGTTCTTCCGTTATCAATAACAAGAATGCTCCGAATTCTATTTCCACTCTAAACCTCCCGGTATACAGCAGTTTGATCCCAAGGTTTCGGCCATTGATTTTATTCCATGGTTTCATGCTTTAATTATATATGTGATGATAGATTTTATTTTTGTTATATAGGCTCTGAAGTTTATGGCGGGTAATTTTCCTTTAAAAGAATTTCTAAGGACCATTAAGAAATAACGTCGTTCTATTTTCTATTTCTCCCTTTTCCCTAATATATATTGGTGTGTTGATTTTCGAATTTTGAGGTTTACCTTTTATTTTGCCCTGATTTTCCCAGATAATGAAGTTTCTTTCACACTTGGCCTTTTTCCAGATGGATATTCCATTGGGAAACCTGTGGAGGTTTGTTGTTAAACACTTTAATCTGTGACATGAAATTAATGAAAAAACCTGTATAAGAAAATGCGATGTTATTGGCTGCCTTAGACGGTTAGACCAGATCAATGTTAGCTTAGCTTTAATTATATTTTGAATACAGAAATCATCTGGTTGCCAAAGGATCGAGGTTCCAAAGTTTCTGCATTCGTATGATAGGGCATCCAAAACTCTATTCTCAGTAAGTGCTTCTGTTTATAATTTCGTCTGAGTTTCAGAACATGGAACCTCTTACGTTTATTTTGAGGGCATTGCAGTTGACGAAGTATTGAAATGTTCACACTGATTCCACTCTAGACAATGCGTTTCATTCAAACTTGTCAACCTCGACCTTAGAGCATCTCCAAGAGACTCTCAATTTTTAAATAGCATATTCTATCATTTGGAGAGCATCTATAAATTTAGAGAGTCAAAATTTTGAAGTACTCCAACAAGCTCTTTATATTTAACACTTAAATTTACTACTCCCAAAAAATATTTATTATTTTTGTTTATCTTTTATTTTAACTAACTTTTTTTTAGATTATTTTATTTTTTTCATACATTGAAAATTGAAACATTTTGAATGCATTTAATTATAGAGAGTGAGCTTGGAGAGCCAAAACCACTCTTTTAAGAGTCTCTTAGAGCATGATTTTAAATGTTGACTCTTTAAAATAGAGAGCATCTCATGTTTAAAGAGTCTCTTGGAGATGCTTTTAGCCTAAAATATCAAGATCCACTGATCACATTGCGTACTACAAGTTTCTGTCACATAGTTGTGCAAGTGCTTCAGACATATCAATCACATATACTGGGGTTCTAGTTATTTTCCATTGGCTTTAAGTCCCCTTTTGATAAATTTGTAGCAAATTTGTCTTTATTGGCGATTTTTCTTCTACTAGAATTGCTAAATCTTCATATGGCTCTCATTTGATTGAGAGTATTTGTTGAGAGACCCAGCCCTTACTTTTACTAAGCAGAAGAAGAAAATAAAGGTTAAAAGAAAATTAAAAAAAGAAAATTTTCCAACTAGACGTTCGGGATGTGTGTGCAGGAGTGTGGAGAGGGTAATGGGCTCGATGGCAGTGGTGTTACTGGGGCAAAAAGGTCAAGGGGTGCTAGGGGAGGGAGAGGTCTATTTGGAGTAAGAGGAGATGAGCTAGAGATTTGTGATATAGATCTTGGGAGAGCCACGTTTCTCTCTCAAAATCTATATCAATGGTGTCAGAGCAGACACTATGTCTCTCGGTTGCAATCAAGTGGCGCGGATGGAGACATCGACATAACAGTGTCCGTCTAGGACTAGACATGGGCTAGAGCAAAGTTAGTCCGACGTGGGCGTAGAGATTGCGGATCGTGGTGGATTGTCATGGTTTCTATTGCAATGTATGAGACTTGAATTTCACATCGAAAGTATGAGTTTTGGTGTGTGATTTATATAGATTTGAACTCTCCAACTACAACAGCTAGCTTTTGAGGTATGACTCTCACAAAATTTATATCAATTTGACATGCAATAGAGAGGGTGAAGTAGAGGACATTTTGAAGATGAGTGCTAAATTTAACGGAGTTGACGAACACAGAAAAATAACACCAATGTGAGGCTGTTGCCTCCTAATCGTGCTTGGGAGCCAATTCAAACCACCACCCCACTTGGAGAGTGAACATGCCAGCAGTGGGAAAACAATAAAAGGAACGAATTTGCTACACACTTTCTAGAATGGGGACATAAATCCGAGGAAAAAGAATTGAGACTGCACTGCCTAACGCGGCAAACAATGAGGCAGTTGTTGCAATTTTCTCTTTTTCAGATTAAGCCATTGAGTGTGCTCCATTTGCTAGTTCATGAAGAGAGGCAAAAGATAATACTTGATGTAGATGAATAATCTGGTTATGACTACAAAAATTAATGTAAGAAACAACGTTTTATGCATGCTAGGAAGATTTATGACGTGGATACAATCTTTGTTGTTTATTCCCTTGGTGGTTTGTCTGAGTGATATCATTTGCTCATATCAAATCTTTATCGTATATGCTCTTTGGTTGTTTGAAGACAATTCAGTCTGGGCGACTGCCAGCAGATATTCTGGATGATATACCATGCAAGTACATTGATGGGACACTTGTAACTAAAAAGTTTGGATACTATATATGAGATAGTTATCTAACCAAAATTTACACCTTGAAAGAATTTCTCATCTACAAGAAGAAATTGTTGATGCACCATCAGTTTATCTACAAGATAAGTTTGAAGCATGCCTGTAGACTACAAAGAAGTGTGAAGCCTAATTATTATTTCGATTACGTGTTTTTAGCAGTTTTCATTTCTTTGTTATATTCAGAAACACTCTCTTAAAAGAGTCAGTAACTGAAATTCTTTATTTTTCTTTGTTCTTTCTTTCTAGTAATGAGTTTAAACACCCATTCTTCCCTGACTAGTTTCACCTTCTGGAAATGTCCTTTACCATTTTAATTCCTATCCCCTGGGGTTTGTAGTATTTCTGCTATCTTGTTATTAAGTACTTGATCCGCATCCTGGCTCCTGAGAAATTGAGACTGCTTTCTCTGTACTTCATGTGCTTATTAGTATTTAATTGTCCAGAATCCACTGGGGTTTGTAGTATTTCTTCTATCTTGTTAATATATACTTTTTCCGCATCTTGGCCCCTGGGAAATTGTGATTGCAATGCTCTGTACTCCATGTGCTTATTTAGTATTTATTTGTCCCGCAGTTGATAAAACTCCAGTCATAAAAATGAATGGGGTATAAATCATTACTGGTTTATATATTTGTAACATGGGATGTTATTCTTGCTGGTGCGACATTATCAGAAGTGCTCCTCTGATGCAAGACTGAATGTGGATTCGGGGAAATGCTTGCTTGTTACTGATAGAGTGCATTTTAGAATTTCGCTGGAAAATGTGGGGAAAGATGGTCCAACGATTTCAGAAAGTGGTTGGACATATGGTGATCTCATGTTAAGTGTGACTTTCTCTGTCATTAAATGCACCTGAAGGAGATTCCACCACCTTCTGCAAATATTTACTTACAGATGTAGGAAATGGAGTCCCGGATTCTGAAGGCCCTACAACCGCAACTTTGCCTAGACCCCACTCCGAAGTTGGACAAACTTCGTTTCAACCGAGTTCTCACCAAGGTATGCAAATGTAGATTCGTCATCTTTGCTTGAATAGGGCAGTTTGATGTAGATTTTCTGAGAATAGATTTTGTGAAAAGTGATATTTTTGGATATTGCGTGGTTAAAATGTAGAAAAAGTTATGGATCCACATGCAAAATTATTTATTGAGAGAATGTGTATCGAAAATGAGTTTGGGGAAAATGAGTTTAAAGAATCTGTACCGAACAGGGGCTTAGGTCAGTGTATCTGAACTTTGGTGCACTTATAAACTTGCCAATGTCAATGTGTAGCCTGTGAAACAAAAGGTTGAGGCAGATCCCAGAAGTTATGGTCTTGTCAAGCAATAAGATCCTTGGGAAGAAGGTATGCATAGATAGAGTGCCGGAAGACTCAAGAGTAGAGGACTTCGGATCCATGATGCAGCAGTCTGTCTACGAGAACTATCAAAATAGTGATTAAAGAATTATGCTTCCTCTGATGACCTACACACTCCTGCCAGATGTCTCTGTTCCGGCATCGCTATTGCAATCTTGCCAGTTAAAATATCGAACGGTGGTTGGAAGCCATAGGGCTATGCAGGATCACCGTTCAGACATTGTTTTGAATTAATCAGTGGCTTCTCCTTCTGTTCCGGCATCGCTATTGCAATCTTGCCAGTTAAAATATCGAACGGTGGTTGGAAGCCATAGGGCTATGCAGGATCACCGTTCAGACATTGTTTTGAATTAATCAGTGGCTTCTCCTTCTGGACAGGATATGGTGATCCCATTCACTGAGAATTCCATTGCTTCTGTTAATAGTAAAAGAGACAACCAAGATGGACAATCATCTTTCCAGTCAAACAAGTAGGCTAGGCTTACACCTGCAGTTGTGGATGGTAATAAACATGTTGGAAGACAAATAGATGGCTATCAGGTGCCCCATTCGCACCTAAAGAATACACTGTAAAAGCAGCCAATTTCAAGAGGGATTCCGTTTGCAAACAATAGTATGCAAAAGGTTTTTCAGCAGGTGGATCAAGAGGTAAGAGCATTGTCTTTCACCATGGGACGGCAACTAAATGTGGTGCAAAGGAAGAACAGAGAGATTGGAGAGGCTAGATTTCAGCCGAAGGCACGTGTCAGAATCAAAATTAATGCATATGGAGCCTCAGAAATCACAAATACTTCTAGCACAACAGTGATTCATGAGATCGGGTATCCCCCAGACATCCTTGAATAATTTTAGTCAAAAAATTGATAGTAATTCTATGGAGGAGGACCAGTTTCAGAAGAGAAAAATAGTTCAAAGTCCTTGTGTTTCTTCGAGAGGTTTACCTCAATCTCCTTTGTCCTCGAAATCTGGGGAACATTTGAATGTTTCAATAGAACCCGAATTAGTAATTGTGACTAGCGAACTTGTATCATCCCAGAAAGAGAAGTCCACAGTTGCATCAATTCCTCGTGTTGGTGGTTCCACATCATTGATTTGCAGTTCTAAAGATTCTATGCAGTGTATGTACCAGGCACAAGCTGCTGCAAAATGTAGATCCGTTTCTCTCCCCAAAATTCCAGCAATCAGTATAGTTGGTTCTCCGGCAACTATTAGCCCAGCGTTCCAACAAATGAAAAAATTCCTCCTTTTAGAATCCAAGCTTTGGCTGATCAAAGCACGTTTCCCAGATTCTCAAAGATCGAAATGCTGACTATGAGGTATCCCTGTCATTTAGACTGCAACTTTAACATTGCATTTTGAAGTCTCGACAATTGATGTCTCCTTTGACAACAAAATTTCTAGACCAAAGTAATATATTAAAATGTGTTTCCTTTTTGTGGCATTTTCAGAATTTTCCTAACGTTTTTATTAGATATCAAATTAAGTGGAACATTTCCTTGAACATAGTATTAATAGCTCTCTTAACAAACCACTATAGTTTTTAGACTGCGCATGTAATTTGTTTTGGTTTCAGGTATCAACTTAACTGCAAGAAGAATAAGGTGTATGAGTATCCCATCAGGAAACCGTATACATGTTCTACACAACAGCTGGGACTTCATCTCTCAAGTGATTCAAACAATGACAATGTGAAAGATGAAATGTGTAATATGCCATTTTCAAAGTCCCTTTTAGGTGGGAACATGAATGTTTGCAAAACAAGGATCTTGAACTTTGTGCAGAAAGGAGCGCATTATTCAAGTTTTTTTTCTGGCATAAACTTAAATCGATAGCATTTAGCTATACTGGACAACCTTTTTCTTCCTAATTGATGTCTATCAGGAAATGGCTTTCAATTTGTTTCCCAAGGCACGGACTAGGGCGATAATGTCAGAAAGGCCAAACAGTGATGCTGTGGCAATGCATATAGGAGAAATAGAGGCTGCTGAATACTTGGCTTCAGTGGATTACCTTCCAACATTACCTAATTCTTTTGAGTTGTAAATATTTGCTTGTTTTTATGGAGCATTGCCCAGTTTGTCATCGACATTCTTCTTGTTCCATCTATCAACTTCGTATCAATTAAACACAACCAGATTCCATATTTCCTCGTTTTTGCCCCATCACATATTGAAAGAAAAGTGAGAAAGGGCGAAGTTAGCACTTGTGGATAAATACACATAGAATCCTCACTTTCACGCGTGCACACTTGGATCTACTATAACTGTTGATGGTTTTCTCTGACACATGCCTCTTTAACTGTTGCATCATTGAGGACCTACTTGTAGCATAGTTCTCTTCTCTGGTATATTCTGTAAATTTTATGGATCAGCATATAAATGTGTTTTTAAGTTAATGAATACTTTCTACTTTTTCAGATGACATGTGAAGGATATCACGTGGAAGATCATGTCCAGCCAAAACCAGTGAGCGTGATGATTCTTCGACCTTTCAATCTAATGCTCCTGGAATCCCTCCAACTAGTGCTGCAGCTGGGATGAAGCAGTATTCTGAAGGAGTTTCTCGTTAGCCATTAAACTCGTCTGAGAATATACAAGGCTAAAGGATATGCTACGACCAGGGAATGCTCAGTTGATGCAGATTTCTCAAGAACTCTCACCAACGCATTCCAGGCCTCAACTACTACCATCTATTTTGCTTGCAGCAAATCTAAAGGGCACATTTGAACAATAAGGGTCAGAATTCAAATATGCAGTTGGATGCTCAAATGGATAATAAACCTTCACCTTTCCAACTTCACATGTTGCAGCAGCAAATGCAAAGAAAAAATATGGCTGGCCATGGAACTGTCGGTGTAGGCAATATTGGAAATAACATGGTCGAATTTGGAGGTTTGAGCAATGTCATGGGCATGGGGGGTGTCATAAGAGTGAGAGGAACTGAAATTTCCGCGCTAATGGGGTCCATCGTGATCATAGGAGACATGTCCCAGAATCCAATGAATCCAAGCCAGGCTTCAAATATTAGCAATGCAATTCGTTCTGGGCCTCTTTCACCAGCGCAGGCTGCTGCTTTCATGGCAAACCTGAGGAGAATGAATATGTTGGGAGGCAAACAGTGAAGTATCAGTGGTATAGCAGGAGCTGGACAGATGCAGCCTGGAACTGCTGGTCTCTCAGTGCTGGGTCCTGCTCTGAATAAAGCTAATATTAATCAGATGCAGCAGTGTACAGCAATGGGTCCACCCAAGTTGATGCCTGGAATGATACTTGACCTGAACCCAACTCTATCAGCAACAAGAAACATCTCCCTCTCAACATGTTTCTCCTCCACATTTGGGGTTCACCATCAAACTCCAGAATTCCTCATCAAATGAATCAACAACCCCAGCAGCAGCAACAATAATTCCCTCAGCAAATAACCCAGCGAAGTCCAATGAGTCCACAATTGAGTTCTGGTAATCTTGAAACCCCTCCAGCAAGCTCACTGTGAAACTCAGAGACTTTAGGCTCAGTTAGTAATATCTCCAATTCTCTGAGTGTTACAAGGTGTTGATGAAAGTAACTCCATATGTACCAAATAGTTATGACAGAAATCACCATAACCATTTTTTGGCAGTCAGTCAATCGCTGCATTGATTCAACTTCCCTTTTTTCGTGTGCTGTGGCAGTAGGATGTTGCTGACTTATATCTACTTAATGTAAATTAATTTTGCTCGGGAAGTTATGGAGCTTGGATGGAAGAGTTTAATTAACATTTTCCATATTCTTGCACCACCTACTGAAAATTTCATACATGAAGTCCCGATCTGTGAGAAATGCATATCACTTTGTTGAACATATATTGGTAGTTGCTAACTGCAAAGTATATTGGAGGCAAGGTGCCGTATTTTCATATTTGTAGTCAGATGCTGTTTGGGTTATATTTTGTTTAAGCTTCAAAACTCAAAAGAAATGTTCAGTATAGCCTGGTGCTCTTTTAATTCACATTTGTTAAGCTAGCAGATGAAAAAATCTATAGGGGGCCAACTTGGATTGGTCCAAAGGAATTTTTTATTTATATTTAACTTTTTTCTCGAAGCATTGTAATTTGTACATGTTAACAGCAATCCACGTGAGGGAAAACTTGGCAGCTTACTCATAGTTGTTTGGGACATACAGGTCCCTTGATTGTATTCCTCATTTCGTGTCGCCATCGGCTTGACTGCTAGACTAGATGCAAGTAAAATCATCAGCAATCTAAAACAATATAATCATGAAACATGGCGGCTCGAATCCACTAATATTTATTTTCATTAAATTCTCTTGGATCTTTTTACTTCTTTTAGAATTTGTGTTTAACTAAAACTCTAACAAACCAAAGAAAATTACCTGAATATGTTGAAGCACTTCAATAGACAAAGAATTTAGTAAACAATGGAAGAGACACCGTTAAAGCACGTAGCAATATATGAAGAATAATTTGAAAAAGTAAAGATTACATTTTATTGTGGGTTTGATGAATTTGAATCAGGCGTCATTCTAAAATGATTTGCTTAATTTACTATGTTTACGCGATGATTTATTGATTTCTTATGCTAATGCTCGATAAAAGATGATTTTTGTATTTTGTTGTTTTAATTGCTGTTATTGGGCTTCTTGAATTAGGAAAATTGAAATTTGTAATGTATTGTAATATGTTTTTTATAGACGATTTTGATCCTGTGAAGTTACTTGTGAATTGAAATGAATTATGTTTGTTCATTAGTTATAGGTAAGTTTCTCCGCTGAAGGATTATTCTTCTTGTTTGAATGCACCTTACACGAACGAATGGATACTATTTTACACACTTCCATGATTTTTTATTGCTACCTGATTCACGGTTTGAGATTCTCTTTGGGGATGAGTATAGTGTCTCTTCTTTTTTCTTTTTTTTTTAATTTTGAAGTTATATTAGGGATGGATTTAGAGTTAGTATTTAAATGAATGAATTTAATAAAGGCAACATTGGAATATGACGTGAATGAAATAATAATTTTTTAAAATTTTAATAGGAATAGATATAAAGTGAGATAGATAGATTCACAAAATAAATCACATTTTCCAAATATGAAATCGTAAACTAAGAACGGATATATATGCGTACACACAAATAATCAGACGCGTACGTAATTGTATTCCCAATCTTCGACTAGGTTTGCAAGCTCGCTAATTCGTATATACGAGATAATTGATAGAGGGGTTTTTACAAAAGGAAAAGAAAAAAAAATCGAAATAAATTGCAACTTTTTCAGTTTATAACAACGAATAAAGAGTGTGCTTTAAGTTTTTATTTATGGAATAAATTTTGTAAAAATTATTTCTTTTTGAAGAATGTGTAGAGAAGAAAAGTATTTTTCAATTATTCAAAATTACTTTAAAGTTTGCAGTATGCAGAGAAGAACGCCTTTTGGTTCCCTGAGAATTCCATTTCCCTTCAAATTCAATACGGTACTAGAAAGTTTATCTCCTGCATCTCGTAGCGTCGTAATATAATGGATCGAGGCCGAGGTCGTGGCCGATGTGGGCACTACAGCCCCAGAGGACGATCATCGCCTTCCGCCGGTCATTCGACCAACCGTCACAGCTCTGTAATTCTAAAAACTCTCCTATATTCTTGTTATTTTCTTATCATATTAAATAATTATCAGTCGACGGCATCTGAAGTTTACCGGAATTAATCTTTAAACTCGGTAATTTTTTATATTTTGTTTTTGGCTAAAGTGAATTGGTTGCTTTTCTATTTTGAGATTAATTATTTTAAGGTAGTAAATGGCATATGATTTACTTAATCGGGATTTAGGCGAATTGTGATGAGGAAATACTTATTATTTTGATGTTGTAAAGTTTAATCCTTATTTAGATTCGCTGGCTATGAGTAAAGTATAAATGAAAACGATCGACGCTCAAAGACTTGGAAATGATCTCTCTTGCTCAGGATTCTTAATGATTCTGGACAGAGTTTTGAAGTATTTTAGCTCTTTGCATAAAAAAATTTGCTAACTTGTTTATCCTCCTGCATGTTGGCATTTCAAAAGTCTACGAGATTACACCTCTTATAATATGGTAAGTCACTAAAATCTTGCACGTGGAGTGATGACTGATTGCTATTATTTGCGAACAACCTTTCTTCTGCAAGGTTGGAGCTCGTGGTCATTTCGGGAATGCTTCCTCAGGACGTGAAGTATGGCAAATTAGAAGGCATAATCCAGAAACAACGCCAGTTGGTGTTTCATGTCCCTCCCCTCCTGTTGAAAACATTACATCTAGTGCTGAAAATCTTAAATTAGAGCGTAACACAACAAAAGTGGAAAATCTTAGCCCAAAATATCAGGAGTCAGCGTCCACACCTCCCAATATGAATGAACGGAGAACTCCTCAAGAGCAGTTGTGGGGTGCAGGGAAAGAAAGCTTCAGTTCACCACACCTTAGTGGCATTTCTTCTGTTGATGCATCCTATACGATGAAAGGACCATCTCAGAGTGGCGTATCTGGTTCTAAAGAGAGTCATTTCGGACAGGAAACTCAAAGCAAGATAAGTGCTACTGAAAACACTGTTGGTGATGGCAGGTCTAATGATTCCAATAGCCTGCAGAAAGGATTTTCCTTTGATATTTGTGTGGAGAAAATTGGAAATTTTGTCAAGCTGAAACCCACTCTGCTTGCGAAGAATAGAGAGAGAAGGAATGAAATGAAACGCCGTACAGAAGGAGAAAACATCAAGATTTTAAGGCCTGGCATGGTTCTCTTGAAGTGTTACCTTCCCTTGATGGATCAGGTGAAACAATTTATCTGCTTTGTCTTTGTACATTTGGATATGTAAGAACTGAGTTCCCTATTCATGTCAACAACACTCAACATGAACACTAGGCAATTTATTGTGGGATGCATAACTTATTTAGCAAAGAGTTCTGTTGTTTAATTATTGGTGAAGTCTTATATTATTGCTTCGGTTATGAATGAGCATGAAGATGGGGAGAGTCTAATGGAATGCTCTCCCCTGTAAAGAATAAGAAAGAAATCAGATGTATATTGGGATAATGACTATAGACAGTGTTGTCTCTACTGCTTTTGATCGTGTGTACTCTAGTGTCATGCAGAAGATGTGTGTGACATTAAAAACTCTTATCTTTGATTGCATTCCATCCATTGCTTTGGTCGTTAAAAATGCATTTGGATGATAGCATTGAGATTATGTCTTTATACTCGTAATCCCTATTGATTTTACGATTTCTATACTTTCTATCTTGAGTTTTGAGTAAGAAATGAACTTTTCAAAAAGTCATTTGCCATTTATTATTCATTCAATAAAATATTAGATATAGTAAGGTCACCTGCGACTTACCATCCGTGCTATATTTATTGATAGAGCTGTTGTCTTTGGTTTCTGTCAAGGTCAAATTGGTAAAGACGTGTCGAGATCTTGGTCTGGGTTCTGGGGGTTTCTACCAACCTGGTTATCGGGATGGAGCACAGCTACGTTTGAAGATGATGTGCCTTGGTAAAAATTGGGACCCTGAGACAAGTGTGTACAGTGACGAAAGGTCTACTGATGGAGCTAAACCTCCTTCTATTCCTGCTGAGTTCCTGCAGTTGGTTAAAGAAGCAATTCAAGATTCTCATGCTTATTTAGAATCAACCACTAAAGTAAGAAAAGTAGAAGATATTTTTCCCTCAATGTCACCAAACATCTGCATTGTCAATTTCTACACACAGAGTGGCCGTCTAGGTCTTCATCAGGTTTGTAGATGTACTTGATCTTTGACTGTGTTAAATTGGTTAATAGATTTGTATTTACAGAACATTTTTTCATTATTATTTACTGGCTTCTTTCTGACAAATTTATTAACAGCTAGAAATACTTTTAAAACCTATGTTGCAAGTCTTCATTTCATACTGGACTTTTCACGGGATTGTTGCAACATAATTGCCCTAAGAATTTGACGGAAAGCAACTTAAGGGAATCTTCTAGATTATGTAATATTATTCAGATTGCATTTCTTTGGTCTTATTAGCCCATTTCTTTAAAATAAAATTCCTGTCCAGGATAAAGATGAAAGCCAAGAAAGTCTACGCAAAGGACTTCCGGTGGTCTCCTTCTCTATGGGTGACTCTGCAGAATTTTTATACGGGGAACAGAGGGACATTGACAAGGCGCAAAAGGTCTTGTTGGAGTCGGGAGATGTGTTAATATTTGGTGGAAAGTCGAGGAATATATTTCATGGTGTTAGTTCTGTTATTCCGAACACTGCTCCTAAGGTTCTTTCAGAGGAAACAAATCTAAGACCTGGGCGTTTGAACCTCACTTTCAGAGAGTACTGACGTTATCCTGGCATGAAATAGCATATATTGTTCATTTGGTACAATTTAAATCTGCCTTTATTGTGAATCATTATCAATGACTAGTACTCCTATCAAACATGTTGTCAGAGCCTTCCTCTTTAATTGTGCTCTTATACTTGTAGGATTAAGCGGACAAATGAAATCCCCAAATTTGGAACAGCAAAATAGAAGAAGCCATTTTCACATATCAATGGATCTGCTCCTGGGAATTCACAAGGGAAACATACTTCAGTTGAGTTTTTGCCTTGTTTCCATAGGGCATCTAACGGTAGAAGATGCATTGATCCATGGCAAAATGAGTGCCTATACAAGAATACCTTGTGTGCTTTCCTATTTCATTTCCAAAACTTCTATTTTGTGTACATTACAAGAGTACTAATACTTAAGTTGCTGAAGGTTATTAGTGAGTAAAATTACACGTTAAATTAAAAAATTTAATTCGTAAAAATAAAAAATACGAGTCTTTTGCGGACATATTACTTATTCGGTCCTCAATGGATTTGGACCTGCAAGAAAGTGAAGCAATATGCACCTAGGTTATTTGTGAATGGTTGGTTGATACTAAAACTTGAATACACATTTATCCCTGCTAGAGGCAATGATTCACTGCGCCCATGAAGGGTGTTTTTTTTTTTTAATAGGGTTGCACGATACCTTGGATTCACCCGGCCCCATAAATGAATCTCAGTTCTGCAAAACAATGATAATATAGGGGAGATGACAGAGATGAGCTACAGCGTGATCACACATATCTATTACATGCTCATACACTACATAATCACATTAACTCTTCTGTATGATGTTGACATTTGATTCTAAAGAGTTGGTGTATACATTGCACAAGTTAAAGAGCAGACAGCAACTGCAGAAAGAATGCTTTTTAACTACCAAAATCACGTTGCTGTTCTGCCAATTGGAACTGTTCACTCAATACAATACACATGCTTTTCGACACGAAAACAAGAAATGAGAGCCCCAGGAAGAACACAGCCATCCTTGATATACAAAATAAAAACATTTAACTATAGATAATGTCTACCTCATAATTTGCTATAACATTTAGAATCCTTCAAGCCCCCATCAAGGAAGGAAATACTACGAAATTGAACAATGACGTTTTTCCTCAAGAGTGTTACTTAGGCCTCGAGTCACTTCCCTTGCTCCGGAATGTTGATAATGAGAAAAATGACCTAGGAGCTGCAAAATGAGGAGGACAAAAAACCATCAGAATTTCTCCAGAAATTCTACCAAGAAACTTTTCATGTAAACCAATTATGATTTCAAGTTATGTCCAATGCCGAAGCCATAAATAGACCAGACAATCATTATAGTCTTTCGAAGTCCAATTTCATTTATTTTTTTTTTCTAATGGTCAGTGTACTAGGTTGTTAAATCAGAATAGAAGCGACTCATTAACCAATGTATCCGCATGCTTGGCTGTTTCTATAAGCAAGTCAAACTTACTAAAGTTACCAAAACATGATTCTTATAGTTATGTTTTATACTAACAAAACTTACTGTTTAGAAAAGTTATTTTTAAGCACAGCCAAACATGTTTGATTCAAGCAACAGTACTGTTAGGAATATTGTGCCTAACTCCACCTAATAAAACCGGCTTATTAGGGGAGGATTGTCCTCACCTTATTAAGTGGATCATTTATATTTTCCCAAGCAATGTGGGATTCTAATACGTACCCTCACGCACAGCGTGGACCATGCTGCCCAAGATCTTTATTAATTGGTCTGTGTCTACATCATTTATCGATGTGGGATATATTTCCCTTAACACGCCCCCGCAAGATGGTGGCTCATTTGAGCAGACCAATCTTGAAATCCACGTGCTCATTTAGAGTCTTAACGGGATCGAATCGCTCATTGGAGCATAATGGGCTCTGATACCATATTAGGAATATTGGGCCTAACTCCACCTAATAAAACCGGCTTATTAGGGGAGGATTATCCTCACCTTATTAAGTGGATCATTTATATTTTCACAAGCAATGTGGGATTCTAATAAGTACCAAAGCAAAGTCTGATATGTAGTGATGCATTTATTTCTTGAGTTCATAACATATATCAAGTTGCAGCACAGGAAAGTAAACAAGAAGATATTCTGAAGTCACCTTTTATTGTGCTTACAGATATCTGATCCTCCCTCAGTTTGAAGTTAGACACAGGTGCTGGAATTGAACTGTGTGAAGATTGAACTGTAAGAAGGAAAAGATACAAATAAATCAAGTCCAAACTAGTACGCTTTATGGTCTACCGTCTGCTTTGAACATTGAACAAAAAAATAAAAGAAACTAATGGTAAGTATTGGAGAAAAATAATACACCAAAATTAAACTGACTCTTGTAAAACCAATGTTCCAACTCATTCTTTGTATACAGAGTGCACGTGAATTATAACCAAAGAAATTCATCTATAGGAACCATTAGTATGCAGAGATCATCTTGCTGACATGATAAACGGCGATGAAAACACAAAGAGCCTAGTGTGAAAATAAATTGTCGAAAATCAAGAAATGAAGAATCACAACTGGTTTTTCCTGCACTAGACAAGTTTTGACATGCCATATTTGTACTGGTAAACAAGAAAGTCTCGAAGAGTTTGTCCTTGTGAAATCAAACTCACACAAAACACAAGTTAAAACTTGGCATGGTCAACCATTAATCCAGAAACAAAAGGGGAAAGTCAACCTATAGTGTAATATCATAATTCACCTTGTTCATTGAAAAACTCGCTCTCTGTGAAGCTATCATTGGAAGGTTGCCCTTGAGTAAATCCCATTCTTGACTTCCTCAGATCTTCTGATGACCTGTTGGAAGGATCACGTCCATCCTCTGTATCATCGTCTCCTTCAGACGTGGTTGCAGAGATCCAGTCGACCAAATTCTCTGAGCCACGACTTTTCCTTCCAAATTTCAACAACCGTTTAAATCCTTTAGTCATATCCTTGCGAGGTATATTATTGGAAGAATGGGCTGCCCACATTGGCTTCTGAGCCGTTCCCCATTTCCTCCTCATTCGAGCTGCATCGGTCTCTATTTGGCTCAGAGAATGTGAATTCCATGAGGCAGGACTACCCACGGGGGAGTCAACAGAGGCATCGACATCTGAGATCTCATGAGGATAAGAAAAGGGGTGTTGAGTGCGAGAGTTCCACGAGAGAGGACTTTCTGCTGTCCAATCTTGCACCATAGTAGGCAATTCAGCACCCAAAGCCTGGTCCACTTGAGAAAATGATCTTATAGCCTCACCATTTTCTGATCCTGAATTTTCCAACTTCTCTGATTCCAGTCTCAGTCTTGGTTTTCCATTGTCCAAGTCCTTACAACCTTTAGGGCTCATGGTCTCAAACTCTTCCTCTTCTTCACCTTTTACTGTATTCCCCATGTCTTCTGGTCCAGAGGCCAAGTCATTATTTTCCTCTTCATTATTTAGAAGCTCGGGGATCATAGAGGTGTTCTTTGTAATACTAGATGTAGCAACAAAGTCTGCACGACTACCTTTTTTGAGAAAAGGCTTGGTCTCAACATTTTTCACAACTTCCTTGTCAAATTTTAGCGGTGTCAAAACGGCATCGTCCGAGTCCAGAGGAGATATCTCCCTAAACTCGTTGAGATTTGCAGAGCTTTTCCTCAGTGACTGTGATCGGCGTGATCTCTCCTTGACAATTGGTGCCTCTTCACTAGTGCTCTTGCTGCGGGCATAGCTTCTTAGTTGTGGCCGAGTTGTCTTACTGGCTGCTGAAGAAGGCTTGGTATTTTCTCTTCTCATGTCAAAGAAGTTCGGGACAGACTGCACAAGTGGATTTTCAGATTGCATTCTTCGCTTCCCAGAACTGAGAATGGAAGCTTTGGCAGCTGATCGTGGGGCAGGGGCTGCTGAGGTGCGAGGCATAGATGTGGACGAACTTTTAGTGGGTAGCTTCTTACCAGGTGCACTCCTGGATACACCATCTCCAAGAGAGGTCTCGTTCAAAGTGCTATCTTCACGAAGATGTTCCTGTTCTTCAAACTCTGATGCATCTTCATCTTCACTATTCCCAAAATCTATTTGTTTCTGTCAAAAGGAAACTTTTAAGCGGTGGGTTAAAATCACAGAAAAGGAATGCCAGTAAACTCTTAAACGAACAAAACATACATATATGATGCTTCAATATATGTATGCTTCCACATACATACATATATGTGGCGTATATGTCTAGAACACAACTGTAAACCAACCTGCTCCCTTTTGATAATTGATCGGGTACTAAATGATCTGAGTCTCTCGGCTCGTCGGTTAGCACTGGATACTGAATCCTGTCTATCTGCAGATCCTGAAAATTTGGCCTTCATCTCAGCTGTACTCCGCTCAAACCTATCCCGCATAGTCTTCAGTTCGGCTTCTTTCTCAGCTCTGTTGGAACCCCATTCTTCCCTTAGTTTTGCATCCCTTTTCAGCATATACATGTCATACAATTTCCCTCGAGAGCCTTCTGAAAAACTAAGCTCAGCATCACCATACTTCTGATTATCAACCATTGTCATCAGTGGAGCAGCATTGAACTTGGTCGTGTTTTTAGCGCTCCCTGTAATTTCACTTGACAGGTAATTATCAGATAGTCGAGGAGGAGTGATATCTGCAACTGGTTTTGTGTAGGACAAACTAGCTGCAGACTCACCTTGCACATCAGCTGACCTGCCTCTACGGGCAGAATTGGACTGATCTCCAGGAAGTTGTAGCTCAGCAAAGAGCTTTTCAAGCTCATTTGCTTTAATTTTCAACTCATCATTCAGTTCTGGGTTTCCTTTTGAAAGCCTCACCCTTTGCATTTGTTCAGAAGTTGGGTTTAAAAATGAATCAGAACCATCCTGAGCCTCCATCATCAATTTACCAGAGAATGGTGTTCTACTATTTCCATAAACAGAACTGCTTTCGTCTCTCCGAAGTAGTGACTTGTTCATCTGTTCAGGTGCTGAAACTAGTCTCTGAAACTTCATTTTCTGAAGTCCAGAATCTTCAACCTTTGATGCAGAACTACCAGATATTTTCTCAGATGAAATCGACTCTTTCTTTCCAGCTTCCTCTGTGTCCCCTGCAGATCTTTTACTGGACTGAGAAGACAAGGAACCCCTTTCAGCCCCTTTATAATGAGCAGCAAAAGCTTCTCTTATTCTTGATCCAGCAAGGCCTTCAAACTGCCCAGAGTCTCCCATGGTTTTCTGAGGAGACTTTGAACGTGATTGTGTAACAAGCTGGTCTCTCAATTTATGTTGTTCTTTCCAATTTGAAATTTGCCAATCACCTTTGATTCCAAAAGTCCGAATTTGTGTCTGAAGAGCACCCTGATCCTTCTCTTCAGTAACCTGTGTCTCAGAAGCCACTCTCCCTTTTACCCCACCAAGCTCTTCACCACTCAGAGAGCCACCCTTCAACTTTCCTTGATGCCTGAACCCTATCAGAACCTCTTGTTTACTCTCACGGAAAGACCTGAACTCCTCTTCAGAATTTTGTTGATCCGACCTTGACTGAGACTTCCCATGTATTTGATCCATAGAGCCATCAAATTCCGTAGTACTCAAATTAGAATTTGACATGCTAGATTCGGAACCATCATTCGACCTACTAAAAGAAGACGCATCTTTCAACCCGCTATCAACAACCTGATCTGAAGCCACCTCTTGAATAATTCTTGACTCCGGCTTAACAGAACTTGCCATTGTATCATTCAAATTCAAAGCTTTTTTCTCTTCAGACTTGGAAAGCAACCCCGAAGCAGAGGATGAAGTGCACAATGGGATCTCATTATCCTTCTTTTCAGCACTTAAGCCAATGCTCATGTCACTGGCGCCACTCCACCTCCTTAGAACAGCTCTCTCTACAGCAGCTGGGGCAGATGACACATCAGACGACAGCCTCCGAAGCTCCACTGATTTCCGGACCACAGGTTTCCCACCACTCCCTAAAGTCTCCTTCTGTTTGTTCTCGAACAGGCTTATGCGGTCCTGCACACTGAGTCGCCTCACATGATGACTTGTGCGAGTTGATTCAGTCTGATCAGCACTTGAACTCTCTTCATTCTTTGTTTCTTTTTCAACAACAGCATCATTTTGTTTGTTTGAGTCATCTCTTTCACTGCTGGACTCTTGGCTGAAAGTGTGTTGCACTGGGAAGGACAGAGAAGGTAGCTTGGGCTGCTCACACGTGGAGGTATCTTCTTGATGTTGGATCTGGGCTGGGTGGGGCCCTGTGGGCTGAGGGAAGGAGGGATCCTCATCAATGGACATGTCCGACCCATATGAAGATCGGACAGCCCCATCCTGGGTTCCAGACCTCCACGGACTGATTAAATCTGCCCGCCTCTCGCTCAAAGATATATATTTGCTGCAGGCTTCACTGTGAAGAAACAAGAGAATTTTCTTAGTTTCTGAAATTATAGAATTTTTTATTTTACTGAAGGGCAATAATTTTCCAGAACAGGAAAAAAAATTCCCTCTCTTCTGTGTTTCTTTTGCCTTTGAACAGGGGAAATATGAATTCAATAGTTTTCTATTAAGTTATTGGTGAATTATTGATGTACTCTAGATATATTTTGTTCACCATGATTTAGGAAAGTAATGACAAGATTCTTTTTCTTTTATGCATCTTGTTAAGATAAAAATGATACGTGCAAACTGGATTCGGTTTTTATTTTCCTTCCCCTTTCTGATTTCCTGTTAGACAGGTGCAAACTGGAATTGAAAGCAGTGAGTAATTACAACCAGGATCTTGAAACCATATAAACGAAATTGAACTTGTTCCAAACTAGAAAAATCTCAGGCCTGCTTCAACAAAGCAAAGTTTTTGCAAGTGTTCTTGCTATTTAACCAATATAATTAAGAGATCTATTTGGGCATGTGAGTTATATTATCTGCACTTGTGTACGACCGTGAGACATATGCACATGTGCCTTCAAGCACACAAACATACGGGACGGAGTGATCTAGAGTTGAAGTTGAATTGTGGAAAAACTAAGGAATTTATAGTCTTACTTTAAGCGTTGGCCACCAAAAAATTCTGCAAACATTTGAAGTTCATAGACTGTATCACTATTGAAACCTGCAGCGGCAGCACGAGCACAAGCTGTTGTCAAGTTCTGTTGAACCGTGCCAAGCCGTACATCAATGGCTCTAAGTAATTCCTTCCTACATTGTTGAGGCAACAGAAAAAAAATCAGGATACAACTCTCAGATTGGGAAGGAAAGAGAAAGAAAGAGAATCTTTGGTGGCCTTTCAACAGATTTACAAGAGCATATTTCATAAAAAGAAAAGCATGAAAACATTTTACAACTAGAAACAACCTGAATAGGAATAAGTTTTGTCTAAGAGCATGCAACCAGACTTGACTCCTGGTACAGTGCAACTATATGTTCACGAGATTAATTTAATTTAAGTCATCTGTGCCCTTCATAACTAAAAAATCTCAAATGCCACAAGCATATTGGGCTCAAATTTTCCAGCAAGGACCCACCTCATTAATGAAGTCAAGTTACCAAAAGAAAAAAAAAACACCACTACTAATACTGCATAATGATATAGCTTTTAGTTTAAAACATAGCACATACATGTCTGCCTAAAGAAAGTACAACTCATAATTATATGAGGCAAATATGAAACACATTATACACAAATTACTACTACCAAAAAAGGAGTGTGACAATTAAGCACAAAACAGAAATTTGTACAGAGTAACAAATCTACAGTAAAAAGAGCAGTTAAAATTTAGAAGGTTGTTATGTGTATGAGAGAGGGAAGATGTAATACTTGGTCACCTCAGCCGAAGTTGTCACGCCTGATTTACCCCTGCCTAGAGCAATTCATAGTTCAAGTAAGACAGTATTAACAATAAATCCACCCAACAATAAGCGAAAAATTCAATAAGTATTCCAAGACAATGTAATATTCGTTCAGTGTCTTAGTGGCTTAGGTAATGATAACTAAACTGCCTCACTAGTTCAAGTAAGACAGTATTAACAATAAATCCACCCACCAATAAGGGAAAAATTCAGTAAGTATTCCAAGACAATGTAATATTCGGTCAGCGTCTTAGTGGCTTAGGTAATGATGACTAAACTGCCTCACAAAGAGACTAAATAGCAGCACAGTTAGAATGACAACGTTCAACAAACTGTTTGTTTTCTCCTTATTAAAGAACACGAAGAGAAACAAATAATATGCAATTATGCTTGCCTAGATCAATCGAACAATCTAATAAATTTAGAACTCCTTTATTTCAGATTCAAAGAGACGTGTGAACATGCCGAAATACTTGAAAAACAATAACCTTGTGAACTAAAGACATGCAGTATAAGATTCACAAATCATGCGAAATGGTGACCAGGTTTTCAGATCCAAACTTCAGATATGTGTAACGCCTACATGGACAAAACCTGTGTCTGGTTATGTTCCTTGTTTACGTATGGTAACCAGGCTCCCCAACAAAATGTTATGCATACTACAGTGGATGGTGTATTTTCTTTTCATTTAAATCTTGTTGTTTTGGACAAGCATGGGGACACTAGTGCATAAATAAATGACTGATTTGTTGACCATCTATAGGCAAGGACAAAACCTTAGCAGGAGGTAAATGAAGATGGCAATCCTCCAACAATGAATATTGAGGCTTCTCCGATTGACTTGAGAGGTTGCTGATTTTAGACAGTAATTACTAAAAGAAATACTGGATATTTGAAAAATGAACCTTACAAAAACAAGAAAAGAAATATTGTAGATAAAACTTTATTAAACATGAGTAACTATTCGAAGGGTGATAATGTTTCCTTTTCTATGTTCAGATTACATGGGAAATCAATGAAGAACATAAATTAGATAAATAAAGCGCATACCGGAAAGCTGATCACCTCTGTCCTGAAATTGATGAATGATGGAGAGCAAATTAGTGCACATTGCAGTCAAAGTAAAACCAAATGAACATCTACAGATGATACAAAAATAACTACCTCTGCATATATTTTTTGGGCTGCTTCTAACTGAGACATCTCAGCATCAAAGGCATTGACCAGTTCCAAAACATCAGGCGTACTTACAAACCGAACAAACCTGAATAAAAGAATTTCCCAATTACATTGATATATGGGTTTATCCATATAAATAAATCAGTAAGTTGCAAGACACACTACCTCTCGAGTGTTCCCTTTGTGAACCACGTTTTGGAACTTTTTTGCCTTCCAGCTTCAAGCTTCACTGATTGAGTGTCCGATGCAACTTGTTCCTCAGCAGCCTTTAAATGTGCTACAAATGGTTTAATCAGTCCCGACGCTAATTTCTCAGTGTTTCCATTGCTGGAAACAAATAATTCACATCTGTCCCAAAAGCATCCAGAGTTAATAACTAATAATGGCAACTAACATCAAGTGATATCACTTAAATGCGCTTACCGCGATCGTCTAGGTGAAAGCTGGAAAAGAGCATAATCAAGAGGCGTGTCTGACTTCATTTTTGTTTTTCTCAAAAAAGATTCTGTCTTTTCTAGGAATTCCTTCATGTATGTTCCCTCATTCCCTAATTTTCAAAATATATCAAATCACAATTAATTTTTATCAGGGAAATACTAAATCAAAAACCCAAATTACATAGATAAACCTAACAAAGTAAGTTAAAAACTGGAAATGTGTTTTTCCCTTAAGTACAGATATAACGAAATTAAGTGACATTAGTAGACAGCAGATCTTAATCAAAATCTTATATTTTGAGAAATACATCGAAGATTGAACTAAAACAAAAATGAAAAATCTATCATCCAAAAACTCAAATCGAAATTCACTCAGATCTGGTTATGTAACAACCAAATTCCTATCCAGCCAGCAAGTTCAAATCAATATCTTCAAACCCAGTTACAAATTAAACCCAAAACGCAAGAAATGGGATAGAATGAAAATGTTGAGCTAAAAATCAAATAAAACCCCCAGAGCAGATAATTGAAAACTAATGGAATCGTAGAAAATCGAAACTAACCTATATAGTCTCAATGCGAAGATCTTCAATTCCCGGACCTTGATCGTCGGATTCAACTTCATAATAGAACCAGCATTGGGGTCTCTTCTTTGTAGATGAGATTTTATCGATTTTTTATTTTTATTTTTATTTTTTTGCTTTTTTTCAATAATGGAAAGCTGGGTTTGGAGTATTTTTTTTTTTTTTTTTTCAAGTTTGAATTGGAATTGGTTTTCGATTTACTCCTTTCTGGAAATGATATTTTCTTGGAATGTATGCTTATATATTTCTCTATGCATGTACAGAGAGAGAAGGGGATGAATGTGGTGACTTTCTCTGTGTGTGTGTTGGCATATTGGGGTTTGGGGTTAACAGTGAGGATGGCTGCTGTAATTGGGCTTCAGACAAAATCATTTTTCATATTTTACTTTTGTTGTATTTTTGTAAACGTTAATGAAAGACAAAAGGGACAGTTTCCACTTGACATTTGTTGTCTATGAAATTACAATAATACCCATCATGCTGATTTTGAATTTTCGGTTCTTGAATCGTCCATCGGGTTAGTTTTCGGAACATTGAATTATTTCATTTGAAAAAAGAGTGATGCTACAAGTACATAACTTTCTACATAATGGTCTACATAATTACACGTGGCATTCATTCAAACCTTTAATTCAAATCTAACATTTACACATCAACGACATGATGGGTGCTACATCACATTGTGTCAATCATTGTGTACATTTATTATGATCTTCATTTGAGTCACCTTATTATCTCATTAAAATAAAAAATATGACAGTTATCTATCAGATCAATATTTAAATTCAAATTTTTTATCTCTTGTGTGGGCACCAATAACGGATATATTTTTCATTCTCATTCTACAATAATTTGGCTCAAAAAGGGGGGCTTAGCATTTTCGTTGGAAAAATGATCTCCGTTAAAAAGAAATATATAAGGAAATCAATTTCATGTTTGAAATTAATTTAGTTGATACTAATCACTTTGGATTTGCGTGTAGTAATTAAATTCATCCACAGAGTTGAAAAATATTGATTTTTGAAGAAAAATGTTTACACTTGGATGGAGATATGGATTGTGCCAGGCCACGGGACAAAACATTTTTAATTGTTGCACATTAATGTTGTGTTTGGTGGAGATTAAAATTAGATTTTTAGTAGATTGTGATAGAAGTTTTTAAAATGTATGGTTAAAAAGTTGTGGGACACATGAAGGATGTGGTTAATATTAATTGTTTGACTTTGATTTGGATTAAAATCAAATTTTAAGATTGTTTAATTTTGACTTAGATTAAAATCAAATTTTAACCGCATCAAACAGTGGCTAAGTTAATTGCATTTACCAGAAAAGTAATATTCAAGAAATAATAATTTCTTTGCCCTATCTTTACACACAACGTTTGACTCTTCCACCGTAAACTATACTTTATTGTAGGAGATTCTATTTTGTTGTTGGTTGGTTGGTTCAAAAAGTATTGTATTTTCTTAAGAATAAGGTTCAAGTATCACTTTAAGCATCTTCTAGCCTTCACCTCGTGTGAGCGGCTACAGGTGAAAATTTCAAACGGTAATCAAATTTTGCACAATATTTTTTTTATTGATCATTAAACTTTAAAAATAAAAAAAAATTAATGGTCATCAAACTTTTCAAAACGTTATCGTACTGACAACTAAGCAATATTTTTTTTCGGATGATCGTCGAGCTTATCATACCATGGTCCCATTAGCAAACTAACTTTAAAATGTTTTCAAATAATGGTCAGGATAACGATTTGATAAATTTGATGACCATCAAAAAAAAAAAAATTAATGGTCAATATGATAACAATTTAATAAGTTCGATGATCATTCGAAAAATTTTTAAAATTTAATGGTCAAAAAATATCATGCAAAGTTCACTGATCATGTGAATTTTTAACCATGAGTTTTACTTATTAAGGAAGCAATCTCTTTTAAAATGAAAGCTTGTTTGGAAGGGATTAAAATTAGATTAAAATTGAAAATATAGCCGTTATTGTTGACTTTTATTAGACGAGTAGGACCCAATAACGGTCATATTTTCAATTTTAATTGGATTTTAAGCTCTCCCGAACGGGGCCTGATTATATTATTATCATCTCCTCCTCTCCCTCCATTCAGTTTACAAATTCAAAAAAGGTAAGGATTTTAAAGTCTTGTTTAATTCAGTCTCTGAATGTGGATGAGCAAAAGCAATCTTTAATTTGATTCCTTTTATTTTAACTTAAATTTATTTCTCATACTCTTTTTCAACCACACATTCGTACAAGAAAATATTTTACACGTAAACTTAAAAAATTTCCCTATTTTTTAACCGCACATTTTTTAAGAATTACTATTCAAAACATATATTTTTTAAAAAATTAAAGGTCACCAAACATAAGCTCATTATCTACCTATTCGTTATGATATGTTAGGTGGGACAAAAAATAATTTTAAAAAGTACCGGAATAGAATGCGTCCGCGATTTTGTTCGATAAATTGAGTATAGTATACCAAAACTATGTAAGAAAAAATATTTATTGGAGCTTTAGAAGTTGAGATTCCAATCTTCCCAAATCTAGTTTCATCCAATACATACATTTATTTGTTTTTAGTCATCAACACATCCGTGAAGACTAGCTTAGCCCATGTTTTACTCACTATAAAATAAAACAATTTATTTCTCATATTCATTTTCAAACACAAATTTTTCAAAAAATCACTATTCAAAATATTATTTTTACACAATAATGACCATCAGACATGAGCTTCATTTTTCTCATCGAAAGCCCAGAATGTTAGAGAAAAGTTCAAGCATTGAAGGAAAAAAATTGCATACACAATTTTCCATAATGAATGTTGTTGGGTTTGAACTCAAGTCTTTTCTCAATCTCATCTAAGCCCCAGTTTGGTTCCCATTATTCTCTATTAAATTATGATTTATTTTTCTCTATCTTCTTATCAACCACACATTCTCCAATAAATAATAATACATGTAAATCCAAAAAAAATTTCCTTATTTTTTAACCACATTCTCAAAAAAAATTATTATTTCTCTCATTATAATGTGGAATAATGGGGCCAAAAGGGTCGCAAAAAGTTCAAATTGATAGAGACTAAACCATTTTAATCTTCGTGTTAATTATCCATTTTATGCTTGGTGTCTTGTGCACATTTTCTTGATTCAGCGAGCACCATTAATGATGGTATTTTGATCCTTTATTTGTGACTTTTGCTCTTTTCACGCTTTAATGATAACTTTGAAATAGAAATGTTTACCAACTTTTGTGGATTCTCATGAGAAATTAAACTTTATTGTTGCTTCACGAGCAAGATTATCCAAGAATTATTATATTTAATGAATGATATCGAAGGTAATTCAAATGGTAAGATGGTTTAATTATATGATATGAAATTTTAAATTTTCTTGAGGGGATTTAAAACATTGATCACCAAAAGTAGAAGCCCTTAGGTGTAATTTTATATGAAAATTTAAAATGTGACGAAGATGTATTGACATGGATTAAGTTATAGGGGCCTCACATTTCTAAGGCCTAGAACCCAGACCATAGCCGAAAACTTGAATTAAATACGGCAACTTATACAAGTATCCTTACATTCCAACCTACTTTTGGAGATCTCAATTCTAAAATCAGGTGGGATCCTTTTTCTTTCAAAAATCAGATCTTTTATTTTAATTAATATTTGTATAAAATAAATATTTTTACTAATTATATATACTCCAAACCCTAACCACCCCCCACCGCCCAAAATCATTCTCTCTCTACCTCTCCTCTCTCTGTACCATCCTTCTCTCTCTCCTTCCTTACCCACCGGCAACCACGGCGAGGAAGTTGTCACGGCGATGGAGCTGCTCCAGCAGACACTAAGCCACTCTCCGGAGCTGCAGATCGAACAGGAGAAGGGGTGGTGGTGCTGGTTCACGGCGGAGGCGGAGCGAATCAATTTTTTTTTCTTAATTTGATTTCTTTGCACAGATATGTGAAGTTGTGTCTGATTTGTGATGGTCGATTTGGTGTCGTTTGCTGGTTGAGTAGTGGGGCAGTGTACTGTGCAGTCGGGAGGTGATTTTAATGTTCCTACGAGGCACGCATTCCGGCGAGTTGCACTGGTGGAGTTGGAGGCTTGACTGGTGGTGTTTTTTGGTTTTAACTGGCGGTGAAATGTGAGTTGGAGGCTTGACTGGTGGTGTTGAAGGCTTAACTGAAGGTTGGCTAAGAGGCTTTACTGGTGGTGAAGTGGGAGGTTTAACTGGAGGGTGGCGTGGGGTGGTGGTGGTGATGGTGATAGCCCTTGTGGTGGGGTGCAGGGCCTGGTGCAGGCGAGTGTACTAGAATTGAAATGGTGAGATGCCGGTGATGGTGTGTAGTAGGTAGTGGTGATTAGGTGCTGCAGTGGTGAGATGCCGGTGATGGTGGACTATCTGTGACCTTAAAATTCTACAATTTGTAACTAAAAA